CGATAAAACATTGGGACACACACAACTACAAAGTTTTAAAACCTTGAGATTTAGAAGGTATAACGCATGCACAGCCATGAACCAGTTTTGTCCAAGTTCAGGACCCCAGGGCTTTGCTCTCATACTAAAATGTTCAGCTTTAGTCTAAATTCTAGATTCTGATACTACCCTAAAAAGTAAACTACTGAATTTCAGAGTCTAATGGATACCTCTGGTATCAGATTTCAGTATCTTTAAGTCTCCGGAGCCTGGCTTGTTTTGTCAAGTGACAACTAAGACAGTTCATTAAAAGTGAATAGACCCAACTAATGTTCCATGGCTATAAATTCGGTGGAGGTCTTAATTCTCACTGCGAGACTTGAGTTCAGAGCACTTAAGAGTTCTTTTTCATCCACATAAAGGAACTTCACCTTGAGTTCTTCAGAACTGGCTTTATGTATAGAAGTTTCAACAACAAAACCATTACATTCTTACATGTTGCAGTGTTGGGGGGGGGGCTGTTGCCCATTTTTGTTTTTAGAAGATATTTATCTGATGGACCACTAGCATACTTGGCCTTTAGTGAAAAGCAGATGCACTATGATCATTTTATATACCAGCTGTGCACACAAAGGAAACTCGTGATTCCAGCACGCACAAAGCTCTGTTTATGAACTCTGCCAATAAATTTCACAAGTTGTTTTGGCGATTAGAAAATAATTATCTTGGAATCAAAACTTGGTTTTATAGCTGTTAAATTACATGTTTTCATTTACTATACTTTTTCTGTATATTTAATCACATGTATTAAGCTTAATATTACCTTTTTTTAATGGCTACATATTAGTAAATAATATCTGAAACTATACACAAATACATCTCTTGTTTCCATTTCTTGATTTATTAAAACTGCCTTTCCCTTTGCAGGAATTTTCAGTGAGAAAACTCCATTGTTTGATTTATTAGAGACTTAATTATTTATCACAAATAAAACATTTAAGAAGCTTTAAAACCTAGGAAATCGAGGCAATGGAGCAATGGCAAACATTTTCACTACAAAATCCAATCAAGGGTTCATTCACCATCCAATTTAAATTTAAAACTCTTATCTATACTAAAGCAAACAAAATCCATGAGCCTCAAAGCCACTCTTTCTAGAAGAAAAGGCTCAAAATCTTACAAGAAACTCATTTTGTGGGACGTTTCACATTCCATCTAAGGTTTATTCCCATATATATATATTCCTGCTTCTAATACCAACCAGATGTGACAACAAAGTCTAAGCAGCACTGTAAAAGTCACAAGGATATCCTGTAGTTTGGCATTTTGGGAAAGGCTTGGAGTGAAAAGGTAAAGGTACCTGGACTTTCAGTGATTGAGGAAGTAGTCATAATTTGAGAAGTCTTCTAAATCAAATTTTATTACTTATCAGAAAGATTGCATTTCAGTGAAAACGCACAGTGCCCTGATGTAAGTACACTATGATGACAAACAAGGAAACCATCAAGGACAACAGCATCGCTGTCCCAAACTATGCAAGCAGTGTGCATATGAAACTACAGTAGAACCCAACATGGCCACACAGATTTGTTCTCCAGCTTTTCAAGCACATCACTGACAGGAAACAATGTTTACATTTTAATTTCCAGCAGCAACAAGACTGAAGAGATTCTGCTGGTAGTGAACTACATTAAAAAGTTTGTTCCTCCAGTGAACTCACAAGCAGGTTTCAGCCCAGCTGACAGAACACTAAGAGAAGTCTTCGCATTTGTTTTGCACCCTGAGGCATTAACAGGTCTTCCCTGAGACCCTCAAGCACAGAAAAGTCCTGCGTGTTTAAGCACGTCAGTCACTCCATCTCCATCAAATTCTATTAATGCTAATAAATATGCCCAACTTTCACACTACTATCAAGTTACCGAACTTAAAATGTCACCTTTCTGTTTAGTTTTATATTTTTAAATAATGGAGCTTGGATCTTCATTAACGAAGTTGTAGCCTGTTATGGTTCACTGAGTGCGTGCTGAAGAGAGGAGCTGCAAGAATCACTGCTGATTTCATCTGCGTTTGCTATGTGAACAAGATTATGAGTTCTTAATTTTCAACAAATAAAACTAAATTTTACATTTTAGGCATACTGCATGGCAATATTTAATTCTTAAAATTTTGCATCATTTGAGCTGTAGCAAGCAATGCACAATTAAAATACTCTATTTCAGACTTTCTAGTTTACCAGAATTGTAACTATTAAAAAATAATAAAATAATTATTGCAGAGTCAACAGTTTGAAAACACAGCAGCAGAAATAATATATCTACACTACAGAAAATCAAAATTAAGATGAGTATTATCTACACTTTTTTATGTTTTTTTTAGTTCACTCCCTGTAAATTCCACAGAATCTACATCACCCATGTATCAGTCCCTCTTATCAATTTTTGCTTGACGACTTATATTCCCTTTCATCACTTCCTCAGCTATGCTTTCTCCTTGAAAGGCTAGGTCAGAGCACCTGCGGGAGGGGAACGCAAGCAGCATGCCTCTTCACTGAAGCGTTTTACCCAGAAAGCCAGTTGTGAACAAGGTAGACTGGCACCGCTGGATTTAAGACAAGTCATAACAGAAGTGAGAAGGAGCAACTCTGAATTTAACTTGCAGTTGGACTAGGCGAGTAAAACAAAACAGAAAGTAACCAACTTAAACACATACTTTTATTCTTCCTCAAAGTATAAAATAAATAAATATATGTGTGTGTGTGTGGTGTTAAATTCTCATAGGTAGCAAATTTCTCATTCTTATCCCATCACTGAGAAACATACAACCAAACTGTGTTTGGAACCATGACAGTTCACTTAGCTAAGATTTATTTACTTAAAATATACACTGTATTTATATAACACTTGTATCTTCAAAAGAAAAAGCAAGTTTCAACTGACAAACAGTGCTAAAGTGATCTATCTAAAGCACTATTAAACAGTAAGCAAGACGCTGAATGAATGTCAGTGAATAAAGACAAATGTTTCGACAGCATCCATTGGGAGGCATTACAGCACACAGCATTCATATTAATCATTCTATTTTACGTAATTTTCTTACAAATCTTTATATTCTAAAAGCAAAATTATTACCCTTGCTGCTAAGGACTATAATGTATCATGATTACATGATCTACTGAAAAATACACACTCTGGTATTGAAAATTCTCAATTACTTACACTTAATTTCTTTGTACAAGCTTCCTTAAGACAGATGCACACAAGTTATCAACACAAACAACCTTCCCTCAAAACCACAAATTACCAGAAAGTTCCTTTCAGCCTGATGATAGCCACGTACAGTGCATCCACTCACAGAGCTGTTTCTACTTGTTAAACCAGAATTTGTATTAGTGGATACACGTAAACTCTGTAGAAATTTTTATCTTGAAAGCATCACCGTTTTCTAAGACAACCAGCCTACATGAAGCAACTCTTCTACAAAATAAATACAGCTGGCATGTTCTGGGGACCAGATAAGGATATCTTCAAGTAAGTATCAGCTCAGACTTTATACTCAAGAGGAGTTTCAAGATGCAAAATTTCAAAAACATGCAAAGAACATTGGGAAATACAACCAAATCACTCGGCCATAGCAAATCCATTAAGCAAATTTTTTGTAGTGCATTTAAAAGCTGCGACAAAGGTTACAAAAATAAATCCAATTAAGATTTTTCAAGCAGACTTTAAGACCAAAAGACTGTTGTAGTTTGTAATTATTTATAGTTTGCATACGTATATTTAATTTCCAGAACAGTGTCGATCACATACAGTTTTTTATGTGCAAGTTTGGACAACAAAGTTCATTACAGAGATTCTCCAAAACTGTATCAGTATCTGCACAACACTGTTCAATTTGTCTGCTTTTAAAACATCAAAGAGCCTACTACTTTAAATAGCCACCTGATTCCAAAATCTTTGCCATCACCATGTGTTATGTATTTCTACAGGAGGAAAGACTTACTGCACTGCCTAAATGGTTTGTTGGTTGCATATAGAGATATTAAAATACTTATAGAAACTCCACATGGATGTAGCAACTTTTCAGCCATACTGTAGTAACAATTCCACCAGTCAAATCATAAGTCTTCCATATGACCAGACTAGCTGGTCTTCCATAAACAAACTCAAGCATAAAGAAACAGTTTTACTATATAGCACATCTTTCAAAGAGACAGTCTGGATCATGAGTTTAACTTTGGCAGGATCTAGAAAACAATTTCAAACAGCTTTTTGACTAATTTTTTAAGAAGGCAGATGATTCTTCTCTTGATAGTAACTGTGCCGGCATCTGCTCATCCATTTTAATTCTATTCACTTTTTTTTTCTTAAGTATTTTTTATAAATCATCCAGTCATTGTGCTAACACCACCCTCTCCCTCCCTCAACCAAAAAAAAATAATGCCAAGCTCGTGTTACTCTTCTCTTGATGCCATCTAAACATCTCATAACATAGTTCTTATATTTCAAGGAGATGAAAAATTCTTTAACTCTTCATATTTCCTCATCTTCCTGACTGACAAGGCAGCAGCCATAACTTTGCTGGTCTGCCTGGAAATACCTCAACTTAGTTAAAAAGAGAATTTTTAAAACTAAAAAAAGTTAAACCAATCTGTATTATGTCAACATACTATTTTATAAATAAGGGTATAAAATCTCTCTTTGTGGACATCTGGACTACACTGGATATGAGAAGTTGCCACTCTTCATGGTTTCTGTAACTCTACATACAGATTTGGAAGTAATTCACCTTAAAGTCATCATGGTGAATGTCCGAGGAACAGAAAAATTTTGTGGTTTCTCTTCTCTTGGATATTTATGCTCTACTGAATTATGACTACACACATGCAAACATAACACATCTCTTAACAACCCTTACTATGTAGCAGTTCTAATATCACAGAAATTAAACATTTCAGCACAGTTAAAACACAAACCTGTATAAGGAAGAACATGAAATAAAAACATAAATCAGATTATACTTACAATCTAGTTAACTTCTGTGTGTTCTGAAAAAGCAGCTCAGGAAGAACTTGCAACTTATTCTTGTTCAGGCGCCTAAAGAGTTACAATTAGAATAAAAAAAAAATAATTAGATTATCTTCCCAATTAAGAAGCTTATTCTATTATGCATAAACACATGATACTTCCATTGTATTAAACCTCATGCTATGAGCTCAGCATAGAATGTATTGTGTACGTTTTTCATACACGAGCCAAACAGATCATACCATCTGTAGGCCACCTGCCCACATTCTTGAGGTAAGGAGTCAAGTGACAGTCACCACAAAGATTGAATGTTCGAATATGGATGACTACACCAATGTATTATTTTAATTTTCCTCTGGATGCCTACTAACAGTGAATCATAAGCCCCCCCGGTCAGCCTTCACTGCTCTGAGGAATAGTTACTAGGAGGTAAGCTGGATTTTCCCCCCTTCTTCTTAAAACATAGGCACAGTAAATTAGTAACTTGACCAACCAAAATTATTTCCAGATTAGTTATTATTTCTACAGTATACACACAAGATTTATTTGTTTATTTACTTATTTATTTTTATAATTTTCTTAAAACTACTCTTTGAAAGAATGAGCACTACGGTAGAACATACGAACAGACAGGTACCGGACGACTCTATGGTGATTTGAAATAGAATCTTGATCTTTAAGATTCTTCCAGAAACATTTTAGAGAACAGCTTGATGTTTATTCAGTAGTCCATTTTACTCACTCACCGAGAAGTTTTACACTGATGAACAATTTGCCAACAGTAAGAAATCGACTATTAGAAGTTACTCCAGCCTAGTAGCTATAAAAAGCACCACCTTACCCTCCTTCATAAAATGCATGGCAGCCCTGCAAAAATCTAACAGCAGTTCTCTGTATAAGAAGCACTCGTTTCCTACAAGCCCTTTTTCTGTTGTCTGACAAGAAAAACAGTTGCTTACTTTCATTCTCCTAATGAATGTTATTCACACAATGAGGTTGACCTTAATTAATTACACACAACTCTACTGTTCTAAACAGGAAGCTGACTTCTCATATATATTTATATTAAAACTTGTATTTATACCTCGTTTGTTCCCAATTTATCTTAAAAGTTAACTTTGTTAGCAAATCTATGTTTGATAAAGTCTTGATCTCAGAAGACACATGGAAATTTTAGAAATCTGCTGATACTCAGCACCCAATACCTGCTTCCCAGTTTTCTTGCACACTGAGTTATTTCACTATCAGAATTCAGTAATTTTTTTGAACCGAAAGCCCTTCCACAGAGATCAAACTAATGTGGGGGTTTCATATGGCATCCATGTGAACATGCCTTGCAAGATAAAGGGTGACAGAGAAGAATATTAACTTCTCTTTTTGACACCTAGAATAGATCAAAGGCTGCTTTTGCAAGCTTGCTTACAGAGCCTAAACATTATGCATTACGCATGCCACATGCTAACTTAACCAAATAGAAAAACTGGTTATTTCACAGTGCTTTTACCAACTACCCAATTACATTTCTGAGATAAATGAACAATCCAGTAAATGACACACTAAACAAGAACATGGGAGATACTAAGCACTAGTTTGCATTTGGGAAAGCACATCAGAAGTTCTTAAATTGGATTCCCTTACTCATGTAAAATTTCACTTTCATACCTAAACTTATCCATGATCTTGTTTAATTTAAGGTGGATAGTAATGTGCTACTTAATGCTCATCAAATTCATGTCTTCAGTTAAGCCTGTTTATATTCTACAATAGTTGACCTATTTAGCAGAATGAAAAAATTACCTATGCTAACACAGGGCTTAGCACTTCTCAGTTCCATCCTCATTCATCAAGACTAGCATTACTTCTTGAGAAACACTAAACATGATGAACTTATTTATCAATTACAATGAAAAAGACTGCCAGTTAAATGCATCTACTCCACACAGTTGTCTAATGTTTATTACTGTGTCTAATCATCATTTCAGCTCTCATAATGTACTTACTGAGTTTATGCTTACATTTTTAAGCCACAGAAACAATGCAAAGTTATATTAAGTTTCTAGAATAGGAGGTTCCACACCAACAAGCAGACCAGAAAATGTACGTAGTAACAAAACATTGTATAAACAACTTACAGGAAAAAAAAAACTACCATCAAAAAGTTTTCCCTAACATATTGTCAAATTTATCCAGAATATCAAATATTTGTAAATATTTCCTATTATTTTTATGGGCCAACACTGCCCTACCTGTGATGGATAATGGATCAAGCTCTCAGTTGCCCTTTTAAATTCTCCCAAGCATTTTAAGATTTCATCCTGAGATTACCTTAATATTAATGTTCTTTCAAACACGGTGTGAAGGAAAGTCCACGCAAGGACGCTTTTGAAAAGCTCACATTGTGACCTACTGTTCATTACCACTAAACATTTCGTATTGGTCTAAACCTATTTAATAATTTTAAGATTATATTGTTATAAATGAAGTGTTGGTCTTTTTAGACTGTAAGTAAGCAATCCAAATCCATCTATCAAGACCAGTAACTTCATGACATTCTTCCTTTGCCGTACCTCAGGTAAGCTTGATTTTCAAAATAACCCATCAATACAGGTTGGTGCTCCTGCACTGCACTGTGCACGACACTGTCCTCTAAATACTGCAGGCACACAGCACTTCTGACACATACAAAGCTTGCAGCTAGTAAGGCAAAGCTAGGTTAGTAATTGATAACTAAGCACATCTGAAGTAACAACAAACATCTGAACACTCCATGGCTACCAATGTCTTGGTTCAAGCTACAGAACTCTCCAAACATCCCTTTCATCACATCCTCGGCTACCAATGTCTTCGTTCAAGCTACTGAACTCTCCAAACATCTCTTTCATCACATCCTCAGATTAACTTCAACTTGGAATTTCTGCCATAAGTCATTTTACTCATTGTTTGATTCTCAGGGGAACTTTGGGAACGAATAGGGATTTGTTTCTATTGATCATCACCTACTGTATTTCAATAACTTCTACTGCAATATTCACCTAAATATAAGACTAGATCACCTCATACAAACTTAGACATATTTGAGATAGGACACGTTTAACATGCTTATATTTATTATGTGCCAGAAAGCCACCAATAGCCTAGGAAAAATCCCAATTACACTTCTTATTTCTCTTACTGGGCTTGAGAGAAAAGCCATTAAGAAAGTTCTCAATACAGAAGTACCACAGTACAGGACAGGATGTTTTTAAATCCTAAAAAAAGAGACATAGAAGTGTTTAAAATTATTTAATGAAAAGAGCAAGTGTTCTGAATGGTCATTTATAAGCACTGTTTCCTCCACTTCAACAGAGAAACACGAAGGAACTATTCCACTACATTTCATAACACGTTGTTTGACAAGAACTTCAGTTTATCCTCATCTATCAGTGAGCTCTAGGGCAAATAAGGAAACTTCAAGTGTGAGGTGAAGCAAGAATTAGCAATGCCAGCACAGGGCTGGGCAAGCTCTGATGTAGCTGTTCCCAAGAGGTACCTCAGAGCACAAGCTGAGCATGCTTTCAGGAATCCGTTGTGCAGCAGCCCCTTCACATAAAAAAAGACCCAAAGAGAGGTATAGAAATTCCCTGTGCTTGCCTAAGCCTCCTACCTGCAAGAGCCTTGCACCACCATGTTATGGCCTAAATCTTAATCCTGTCAGGTGCTTAATTCTAATTACAACTGTATTTCTGATTTAATAACAAATACATTGGAAAAGGTGAAGCCACATATTATCAGGATAAAATAAAAACGGTCTGCAAAAAGTTCATAAACAAAATGAGACAAAGTCTTGCAAAATTATTTTGTAGGCACTGTTCTTGTGATTGCACTGTATTAACAAATATAGATATTCCTGAATTTAAATTAGTGACTTGAAATAGAAGTAACATCAAGGTACGATATCTGGAAATTGGATTTAAAAACCAAGCCATTTATGCAACTGCAACTAGTTATATCATGAAGGAATTACATGTCAGTTTTGTGAATCTGAACAGTAGACCAGAATTAAAGAAAATATAATTTACATTTTCTCATGAGAAAATTCAGTCAAATTTTGACTGTTAGACCAAATCCCTTGGACTATACAACATGAGAAGACCACCCAGGACTCACAGCACACTGCAACTGAAAACTTTGATCTGGCTTCTTCTCTCATGTTAGGAATACGTCCACCATGCAATCAGCACATGTACAAGCACGTGCATGCACACACAGAGCACCAAGCACCATCATACCAACACTGAGGTACACCCAGAGGAAGGAAAGAAGCCAGGGTGCGGAGCCAGACAAGATCTGGTCCAGGTTATTTGACCTGGGACTCCTGGATGAGAACGCAGCTGCTGAGTCTCTGAAGTATTTTGAACTGGATGTCTTACAGCTAATAAGACCTGCAAAGTATTCCGGGAATTCAGAGCACTGGACAGAATGATGCATAACCATCTAATGCCACAGAACAGATTAGCTCCAGCGCTGGATCAGAAACAACTCTGGATGTGCACAGCATGGAGTCCAGACTAATAAAACCTCCTGGAAGCTGAAGAACTGTGCAGAGAGGCTCTCCAGCAGTCATATCAGCTCTGGCAATACCTGCATTGAGTCAAACTTATTAAGTCTGATTAGACACATGCTGACTGTACAGTCAACAACCTCCATACACTAACAACTCCCTCCATCTTCCAGATCACTTTAACCACTACTGAGCATGGGAAATAGAACTTGGCACATTCCATTTTGTTAGTCTGCTCCTTGAGTCCCCGTAAGTGACCCATAAAATCTGACCAACGAACCACCAACTGCACACAATAGCTCTCAACGTCTGGGCAGTGGGCTTCCAGGACTGCATGCGTCACCTCCAAGGCATCTGTGTAAGACCACCACACTGGCACAACATCCTCTGACTAGGCTCAAGTACATATTCACCTATGTTTCTGTTGGAAGATGTTTAGGGAGCTGCAAATGGTAAAGGCTAAAAACCTGTATTTCTGCATGCAGGAATTTGCTACAGAAGTGAACTATGGTGTCTTCACAAATTCCTG